GTCTCCCTGTAGCCCCAGCTGTCCTGGAACTCACTATTGTAGACCAGGCTGGCCTTGAACTCACAGAGATCTGCCTGCATCTGCCTCCGGAGTGCTGGGATTAAAGGCGTGTGCCACTACTCCTGGCATCATTTTTTAAATATTTTTTATTACATTTATTTTTACATGTATGAGTGTATTGCCTGCATGTATGTGAGTGCACCCGTGTCATGCAATGCTGAGGAGGTCAGAAGAGGGCTTCGGATTCCTTTGGAACTGGAGTTAAGGACAGTTCGTATCTGCTATGTAGGTGCTGGGAATTGAACCTGGGTCCTCTGCAAGAGCAGTCAGTGCTCTTTACCACTGAACCATCTCTCCAGCTCCTGCCCTGTCTTTAAAAAAAATAATATATCCAAGATTGGTATAACGAGTCTGAAGTGAGAAGATTGCTTCAGTCAGGAGTTCAAGACCAGCCTGGAGAACACATTAGAGACCCTGTCTCAAAACTCAAAAATTAAATACACACACACACACACGCACGCACGCACACACACACGGTCTTACGTTTATAGAGTTCACAACACAAATACAACACAATCTTCACTCTCATTCTCATCTCATCACAGGGGACCAGAAGGGGTCACACTTCCAGGAGGCACAGAGGAAGGGCCATCAAATCCCACCCTACCCAGCTTTCTTACTCCAATGACAGAGGGAAAAGGCCTAGGCAAGGTGCTCAGTGCCCCTCTGTAGTGAGGAGTAGGTGGAGTCCCCAAGCCAGATCCCTGGAGGCATGGTGAGGAGAGCTCCACATCGGGTGGACAGGGACAGGAAGAGATGAAAGGTGACAGTCACACACCCAAACCAGTTAACAAGCCAAAGGTTTCACCAGACAAGCACTAGTGTCTACAAAACAGCATTTGCACAACTCCCTGGCTCAGCCGGATCTGTGCACCTCACCAGCTTCTCATTGACCCCAACAACGGAGTGAGGTTCCGTGGAGCGCCCCATTCCCAGACTGAGCCAGCTGAGGCTCAGAGGGTGAGACATAGGTCTAATGAGTAACCGAGCTGTCTGGCTCCAGACAGTCTCTATATCAGAGACCAGCCTGAGTCTACTCAATGGAGGAGGAGCTGGAGAGATGGCTCAGCAGTTAAGAACACTGGCTGTTCTTGCACAGGACCTAGGTTTGGTTCCCAGCACCCACATGGCAGCTAACCAACCACCCATAACTCCAGTTCCAGGGGAATCTTGACACCCTCTTCTGACCTCCATGGGCATTGCACAACATGGGTGCACTTACATACATGCAGGCATCGCACTCATACATGTAAAATGGCCCTTTTCTTTCTTTAAAAAAAATTTTTTTTTTAGCCAGGTAAACTCTGTGAGTTTACCTGTTTTACATAGTTCCAGGTCAGCCAGTACTATACAGTGAGACCTTGTCTCAAGACAAAAGAGGAGGCAGAGGCAGGCAGATCTCTGTGAGTTGGGAGTTCAGCCTGGTCTACATAGCAAATTCCAGGCCAGCCAGGGCTGCATAGTGAGACACTACCCCACCTCAAAAAAAAAAGAAAGAGAGAGAGAAGGGGGGGCAGGTCCTGGAGACAGCTCAGTGGTTAAGAGCACTTGCTGCTCTTGCAGAGGACCTGAGATTCAGTTCCCAGCTCCCACATCAGCAGCTCACAACTGCCTGTACTCGTTTCAGGGGACCCAACACTCTGGCCCCAACAGTCACTGCACATGTGGTACACATATACATACTGAGGTCCACATACATACACATAAATCTTTCTTTTTTTTTTTTTGTTTTTGAGACAGGGTCTCCCTGTAGCCCCAGCTGGCCTAGAACTCACTATGTAGACCAGGCTGGTCTTGAACCCAGAGCCTACCTCTGCTTCTGCCTCCTGAGTGCTGGGACTAAAGGCATGTGCCACCACACTTGGCAAAGAAAAGGATAGTTGGGTATGGTGGCACATGCCTACAATCCCAGCACATAGGAAAGGCTAAGGCTGGTGGATTGCTGGTTTGAATCCAGTCTTGGATACATAGAGGACCCTCTTTTTTTGTGTGTGGGTACATTTTTTTTTTTTTAATGTGTATGCATGTATTGCCTGCATGTAGGTAAGTGCACCCATCGTGCAATGCCCTCGGAGGTCAGAAGAGGTTGTTGGATCCCTGGGACTGGACTTACAGACAGCTGTTAGCTGCCATGTGGGTGCTGGGATTCGAACCCAGGTTTTCTGCAAGAACAACCAGTGTTCTTAACTGCTAAGCCATCTCTCCAGCCCCTGCTTTTTGTTTTTTAGAGACAGAGTCTCACTGTGTAGTCCAGGCTGGAACTCATTATGTAGACCTGGCTAGTCTCAAACTCAGTTCTGCCTGCCTCTGCCTTCCAGGTGCTAGGATTAAAGGTGTACGACCCACATCCAGATCCTTATTATTTGAGACAGGGTCTCACTAGGTAGACCTGGCTTGCCTGAAACTTGCTATGCAGACCAAACTGGCCTGAAACTCAGACATCTGTCTGCTTCTGCTTCCTGAGTGCTGGGATTAAAGACATGTGTCACCAAATCCACCTCCCCCAACTCTGGTCTCTCTTTTTCATTTTGCGATGGCATCTTACTAAATTGCCCAGGCTGGCCTTGAATTTGTGATCCTGCTGCCTCAAGTCTCCTAAGAAGCCAGAACTATAGGCCTGTGCCATGAGGTGGGTATTTTGTTTGGTTTTTGTGCTACTGGGGATTGAACCTAAGGCCTCCTGCATGCTGGGCAAGTAAGTACTCAGTAGTAGAGTTATTTTCATTTTGAGACCAGGTGCCACTAAGTTACTCAGGCAAGTCTTCAACCCATTCTGTCACCTAGGCTGGTCTTGAAGGTGTGCTCCTCTTGCCTCAGTTTCCCAAGTAGCTGGGATTATAGGCCTGCACCTCCAGGTCTGGCTTCCCTGGGTGCTGCATGTTCCACAGAGGCTGACAGAATTGCTTCCAACCAGCAGTAACAATGTATTGACAAATCCTGCCTTCAAGCTCATCCACAAAGCTCTCTGAGATCCACAAAGATCCATGAGAACCAGGAGCTCCATCACCAGGGTGAGGTTACCTGGCTGCTCTCAGGACTGTCTCACAGGCCCTGGAGTTCCTTGGCTCCCTTCCTTTCCCAGAGCTGACTTGCTCCACCCTCCTCCCTGACCCCAGCAAACCTGCCCAGCTGGTTTGCCAGAGGAGCTGGACCTGTTTTGCCATCTTAGGGCTCTTTTGGCTTCTGATTTATCAGGAGCTCAAGAAGTACATGGAGGAGTCAGAGGTGGGACCGAGTACAGAGGAGGCCCACTGACTACAGCCTTCAGGAAAACCCTAGAGCAGTCCCACCAGACTAATCACACCTTGGCCATCCACCTGCAGCTTAATTTCTTAGTCAGCCTCTACTACCCCTCAGCATCTTCATCCACAGTCTCTGGCCAGGCCAAACCTCCTTTGGTGTGACTGAACACAATGTGTTATCCAGCCCATCTCTGAGGAGGACAGCTTCCTTTCCTGCTGAGGTGCTCAAAGGATGGGAGGGATGAGTCAGGGACTGAGCAGAGGCTGTAGAGAAATAAGGAGATGATAATGTGATAGTGGGTTTATTTGTTTTAGGGGGAGGGTTCTTTTTGAGGCAGGGTCTCCCTGTAGCCCTAGCTGTCCTGGAACTCAGTATGTAGACCAGGCTATCCTTGAACTCACAGAGATCTGCCTGCCTCTGTGTGTGTCACCACGCCAAACTTGTTTTGGTTCTTGAGATCAGGTCTTCCTCTGTAGCCCAGAGGAACTGGGATCAAACTGGCAATCCTCCTGCCTCAGCCTCCCAGTGCTGGGATGACAGTCATGCATCACCATACCTAGAATAATAGTAAATCTTGTCAACCTGGGGCTGGAGAAATGGCTCAGTGGTTAAGAACACTGAATGGCCAGGCATGGTGACATATGCCTTTAATCCCAGCACTCGGGAGGCAGAGGCAGGCGGATCTCTCTGAGTTCAAAGCCAGCCTGGTCTACATAGTGAGTTCCAGGACAGCTGGGGCTACAGGGA